TCTTTGTGCGCGGTACAAAACGTCCGCGCTGTCCCCGATCATTTTTTGCCGATTTGTCTCCAATATTTACCTCAGTCGGATACTACTCCGACCCCTGTAGCACGCGCAGGTCCAATTACCTTTGCGACATCGTCCTTTCGCGCTTATTTTGCCTTCAGCGCGTGTGACTTCTTAATCAAATTTTGGACGAAACCGTTTGATCTTGCTTGTGTACGGTGCGCCTCTACTGGTGGGGCAGCTGCCTCATGGGTCAGTTACAAGCGAGATGGCGATATTGAGGACCTGAGCCTATATATTATATGACATTATATCCGGGAAGAGCTCAGACAACTAAATACATTTGAAATGTCAAAAATATGTACAAATTAACCCACAATATGGATCTACGTTATTTACTTGCGATGTATCAAGCACAGATTCTAGACATTTATGTAGACTTAATCGCATGAATGCTTCATGTACTCGATACGACACGCCTCCAAATGCCTTAATCATATCTCGTTGGTTGCGTACTTTATAATATGTACTAATTACCTCTGCATATTTCACGACAAACGACGACGGGTACCGATAAATTTGACTTCACTCCTTAGGAAACAGGGGCGAAGCATTTGCCAAGCACATGTCCTTAAGCGTAATTGTTTAACTTGCCTCACTCGATTGAATTATCGGTACATTCGACCCACTTTCGTAAGACGTAAGTTATGATGTTTTTATAAAAAAAATCAGGTGTGGCGAAACAGCTGAAATTCGTTGTGTTCGAGCGACTAGAAGTCGTCGTTTTTACACCATTACAAATTTGCAAACACATGGACTGCTAGACTAAGCTTATTTCTTCTTGTTCATTCTTCAATACATTTAACGCCTTTTAGCGAACTCCGTCTTGATTCCTTAACGTCTAGCTTTACATGATGCATAAAAAAATCCATTAATTGCAAATTGCCCTTTACATACTTGCTCCTGCGCAGCATCCACATAACGTAAAAGGTGTTCTTGTGAAGACACATTAAAAAGATGGACTTGTCCTTCTAGGTCGCAACTCGGGCTTCACCTTTTTTCCTGATAGGTAAAAACGTACTACACCTTCTCGATACAACCTGACGAAATCTTCTTTTTTGGAATTGAAGGGTGTTGCCTGACCCTTCCATTTCGTATTTCCTGATGTTTGCATGTTTAGTCACTGTACTTCAACCTATTCTCGATCACATACATATTGTAAGACAAGTATGGAAAAATCCTGGACGTTAGACCATACAAACTGCATCTTACATTGGGTGTATTTGTTGAAGACGTTGTGGACTACTGGGTTGAGAAAGGAGGATGAAGGGACAATTCGGATATATGAAAAGGTAGCGCAACAGGGAAAAGTTCTGCGTAGCGACGCATAAATTAAGTTATATCTATATCAGCTGAAGGTAAGCAAGTTGTTTGTTACTGTCTTGTAGTGTGGTTACCATTATCTGTGATCCTTATACGACGTGCGAACAAAGACGGTAATGCTTACACTTTTAACCCAGTAACGGTCAATATGAAAGTAGGATGTTTATGCAAGAATTAGTGTGCATCACCGATATCATATCGTGGTTGTACAATGACCCACGATTATGATGTATATGTGTCTTTGTCGGAAACAATTCGGTTTACTCCCGTCGAGGTTGACACTTAGCTATTCTACAAGAGGCATTTATTGATCAGTTTCGATACTATATGAGTCGTGACGCCTTTGGTCGCTACGAACCTGCACGGACATGACAACTACTGAAGCAATCGGTCAGTGGAAAGGGACATATCAGTGTTACGTAGTAAGAAAGACCATATCCCTATAGTGGACTACTCAACTTGCTAATGCAGGTTCTTCGTGAGCAGACCGACGCAATTCGGCAAAAAACTTGGCAAGCCACTACAACTTGTGCTCGACAATCTCTAATACCAGCGATAATCAGCGATGACGAAAGTGAAACCTTATGGACAAGGTACATGGGGCTAACAATTGATCGACCGCCAATTATACCAGAGTTGCGCATTGTTGCACAGCAAATATGATAGCCGCTGAATTGTCCGATACAGCGAAGGGAAGACCACCCACCGCTTTTCCAGCCACATTTCTGTCGCCGTCAGGCTGATCTACAAGTCCACAATCATTATGTCGCTGGTTGTCATCACATGCTGCAAAGCCTTGCTTACGTCCCGTGCACGGCTATGATTCTTGCAAATGTACGAAGAATTCGAGTCGGGTGCGAAGAAAAAGCAGTCACAGACCACGCAGCCGCGTACCTTGTGGACCAGGAACTTTCGTGCTCGTGGAGCCAGAAGACCACAAAATTAGTACCACCCTCTACCTGCTTGTGGCACACTTGCTGTACCGCGAAGATGCACTTCTGCGATGTGCGGTGTCCGAAGAACCCAGCTTCAATGATGCAATCTTGAACACTGCAAGCATTCGCATCTCCCGCTTCACAATGTAACGGTCGTTCGCGTACAAGCAATCTCCAATCCTCATCCAAATGTTTTATTGCGTTTGTCGCGATCCAGCGCACCATTCAGTACGATGAGCGATTTCCCCGAAGTATTCTGGACAAGGGAAGTTCACGTTATCGTCCAACGGCGTGGTCTTGAACGAAGAGACCGGAAATTACCTGCGGCTCCAGGTATTGTGTGACCTGTCACTTGATTGATTGATTCAGATTGATGGGGTCGGCAAGAGTCAAGACGGTTAACGTTTTTTTCTCGTGTAAATGTTTCTCCTCGTGCTACAAGCTTGTTGATTGCACGGTATGAATGTAAGCTTAACAACGAAAGACCACTTTGGAGTTTGCCACACACAAACAACTTGTTTCTCCTCTCTTTTCGCTAGTAACACCCTGTGCTTCGCTACGGTTGCCACCTACAGAGCGCTAAAGCTGTCAAGTACCCTGTTGCGGTAACGATGTGCACGAGCAAGCAGAGAATTGTGCCCTGGATGGGCTGTGCTGACCTATCTTTAGCGGTACGACTTGAAGGTAGAGAAACTGTGGCAGACGGCACCAGTTCTTGCCTCAATGCTGCTTCGTATGAGTGAAATATGCGTCGGTGGTTCGTTGTGTAAACATCGCTCATGCGGAGTTTACATGCTTTAGATCGTTTGTAGCGAGGCATTTCTGCCTGCATATCGGCCAGGGTATACGATACGATTCACATTGCGCTTATCGTTATGGTAAAATCGCGCTCTGTCTTGGACGTGACCTTCCGCAACAAACGTGTACAGTGAGCTGCTACCTGACGCAATGCCCTGAGAGACTTCAGTTCACGGAGTTAAAAAGGTTCAGTACTAAGCGTAGTGACGCGAGCTCAACACCCTTGCGAGGAACACTTCGTCACGCCCTTCGATGTCTTCTTGTTGTCGATCAGTCGGCGTTATCGGAACGAAGATCACGCTGGCGTTTGCCGATGACGGTTGCTCATTATCGCATGTATACTTTCATTTATTGTACCCGCCGAACGGGCATGTCGCTCTTGCGCGAGGTGATCATGCACTTGGATCAAAATAAGGCTTGACCCCACCCACAGAGGATGAGAAAGCCTGGTGCTTGAGCGTGAGACAACGCAAAAGCAAACCTCGAGCTTTGTATAAATGTGCGTGATCAGCGGACAGGCTAAGTTATGTCATATGCAGGAACCACTGACACTAAATGAAAACTACGTGTTGGGCAGTATCACCGATGTCGTTGGGATTGTGCTCATTGAAAAAGCACAATTTTGACCATTTTTACGGCATTAGCGAGGTCGTATGTACTCGTGCGATGCTACCAGATGTATTTGCTTCAATGTCAAGCTCTCATACATGGGTTGGCACAAGGTGTTCAGTTTTGGCTTTTGTCCATACCGCTTCGGAACGCACGTCCAAACAAACAAATGGTCTATGAGAAGCACAGACGCTCCACATCAGGTGGCACTTGCATCAAAGAGTAGCAGCATATAATCCATGTACACTATTACGTGCCCACATCAGGTCTTGACAGTCTTGCTTCACGAGCGCATTACGATGAAGTGTGAACATTCTAAAGTCTAGATGTGCTCGATCTTAATCTACGAGTCCCTTGTCGCTCTGCAAACGTAGTCAAATAGGACCAGCACCATATCGATTTGCAGTTGCAGCAAGTCCATCGTTCAATTGTTAATTCCCGCACGCCGCATGGTGCAGCAGCCAAGTTTTTGTGAAGGTTTCGTACGCTCATGTCCCTCTTGCAACACCGCTGCACATCTGGTATTGAGCCTCGGCTTGACGACGATGAAGTCTGTTTGTTGAGACAATGCTGAGAAAGTAGAAAAAACTTGAACCGATTGTTCACAGCTGCTGGCTGCCATGAGCATAAATTTGTGATGCGCTGTTTTTGTCGTCCACCCGGTCGCCTCGTCGCATTCTGTGCGGAATCGTAAGCGTATGACCGCGGCAAACATTCTAGGTCAGTGATAGCCACGCATTGCCGCAACGAGCATTCTGCCATAGTCTCAAGAGTAAACACCATGAAGTCAACTATCAACGTATACCGACTGACCCATAAGTCAAGTACATGCGAGCATACGAGTTGTAATGAATGGGAACTGCACAGGAGTTGAATGCGAGCATCGTTTCAGTTTCGCGAAGTGCTCAAAGAGTCGATTGCCTGCAGCATTTCTATAGCCATTAACTAGACGTCTTGTCGAAGAGCAAATGCCGATGTACAGTTCAGATACGAGCGCAAACAACTGTTACTACTAAGAGACAAGCGACCTAGTCAGGCCCGTGCAATTCCTTCGTGCGCTGTGAAGATTTGCGTGCAAAGCAGAAATGCCTCTGCTTGTCTACGGGAATCTCGTACCTCCAAGTTGATGGCTAGGTTTCAGCAGAGCTGTCGTCAGTGCTCGTCAGTGCTGCGCGGCAACCGATGCACAGCGAGCTAAATCGCTTGCGTGGTCATTCAGCAATATTCGAGCGGCATAGATAACCAACGTTACTGTTCAATACTTGGTCTCAGTCGGTTATGCACCTACACTACGTGCTTGCCATGGCTGCAACCGCTCTTGCTGCAAACAACGGCTCCATTTCGGCCGCTGTACCCACGAATGATGTCGCGCTCTGGACGCTGGCTTCGCAGGACCAAGTCCACCTGATCGACCGTCGAATCGCCGGGGCCAATGCCACACGAACGCTCCGTGGTGCTCTCACTATCAACGAGGACAACACAGCCGTCTACTTCCCCAGCAGCAACACGCACAAGAAAACTTTCATCGAAGACAGGCTTAAGGACTCGCTGGCCAACCCGGAGACAATGACGAAGTTTTACAAACAATGGTACGAGGACGGATACACTGTCGAACAAGTCACTCGTGGTCTGGAGGAGATTCAGAGCAGAGATCTGCGCGAGACGTATGCGAATCTCGCTGAGGGGTATGCAGCATACGTCAGCAATGGACGGCAACGCAGGGGAAGCCAACGGATGAGTACAAATATATGACTAGGGGTCCGGGATAGGCCAGCGAACGTCATCGTGGGCTTAATGCAGCAAAGGTTTTGCTTTTAGAGCGTTTCAAATACATCTTTTGCATAATGTGCTGCAAGGGTTTTCAAAACAGCGATCGGTTACTTTCAAATTACAACGAATTGAGCTTTTCATGACAGCTTGTTGCGCTGTAGCGAAGCCGAGTTTGGCAGCACCCACTCTGAGTGGATTCCGCATCGCTCTCCACTGCACACTAAAACCAAAAACAGACGGTAGGAAGTATGAAAATGTGATGCGGGGTAGGCTTCTGCCAAGCGATGAATGATGTTGCACTCGCGCAACCTATTTAGGATTTTTACAGGCGTTCGCCCAACAGGCGGTACGTTTTGTTTCTTGAATAGGCGGCAGTACGTCAAAGGTCTACAAGTAACACGCTCGTTTGGCAAGTCATGAAAAACAAATAACCCGGGTCAGTGGCACACGGCGGTCACGAATCTAGAGCATCAACAACGTGCTGCAATATCAAGCCTTCGGCAGATCACATGCTGTAAGCTGTGTCACTCGCTAAGCGTGTTGTCTACAGATTCGACTATGTCAGCAAGGACACTATTGACTCAATTCTGTACCAGCCAAGTTGGCTACTTCGTATCATGGATGTATCGTGATAAACAAACGCTCATGCAGACCTGTGTTTATAGGTCAAGCGACGGTCGGCCTCTTGACCAGTCGATCATCTGAGCTCAACGTCCACATAAATATACGTAGTCGAGTGGAACGAAAAGGGGTGCTTTGACCATGCAATCGTTGTGCTAAACTCGAAATGAGGTTACAAGGATCAAGGGATAGTGTTAATGCACCTTGCATCATTCATCACGGATGCGACAGAATTCAGACGGTGTCGAACGATCCCGGTCAAATTCGCAAGTGGATCACTGCTTACAGTTTTTCGACGACGTCAAACGGAGCCGTAGACTGCTTTGAGAGGAGTCTTGTACTTACCTCATTGAGGAAGCTCGAATACCACCTTTAGGGACAGCATGACTAGTAACGATGTGGCTTCCAGAACCGTGACACGGACTTTGATACTAATTGCGACTCGAGTTGCTGACCCCTGTTGACCATTGCGAAGTGCGACCGGCCAGTCCGCCCCAGCGTGCCTTCAGTAATGACCCAGAAGCCGATGTATATAACACATTCGCCGTTTCGACACCACTGCGCCGCATTTTGCAGAAAAGTTGTGTTGTTGCACCTGACGCAAAACGTGGGAAACGTGATTCCGAATGATCCATTTCTGGCTACTAAATCCTATCGGTAGTCATCCCACATCGACAAAAGCTAGGTCCAAGTTCATTGATCAAAACTGTAACTGGGCACGCTCTTGTCAGATGACTGGTAAGACCTTGTTTCGATATAACACAAGGCTGCGTGCTCCCGACGTCACGTACACGTGGCGAGGAAGCGCAATCAAAGCAACTAGAACTCGCAAGCTCTGTCTACGGGAAAAAGTAGAACTGTATTTAATATAGTTGAGTTTCTATATTAAACCATCTTTGTCTTAATATAACTATACTATACTACAATCTCCTATGTGGGTTTCTTGATCACTACCCATTGCGCGCGTCCAGCAGCATTGGTGGTTAATTTGGTTGATGTACCGTGTACATCAACCAAGAAGTGAAGCAACCACGAATGTTACCGTCGGGGGTAATGTTCTGCCAACATTACCGTCGGGGTTATATTCTGCTAACATGGCCTCTTTTCGAGTAATATTGATTGAATTCTATCTGAATGAATGATATTCAAAAATTGATGCATTCGTATCAATTTTTATGTAGCGGGCCCATCCCGTTACATTACCCCCCCCTTAACCATCATTTACTCTTGTGAGTGATTTAATTGATTGGTGACAGAGTGAACACCGTTGAGTCACTCTGTGGGAAAGGGAGCACTTGTTGGTTCTGACCAACTTGATCTAGGTTCTCAGCGCATGACGAGTTCTTCCATGCGCTTCGTGAAGAAGGCCGCCTCTGGAGTGGCTGAATGAATGCGTGCAGCCTCATAACAAGCAAATGAAGACTCGGCAGAAGGCGATGAGGCGCCTGCTGCTGATAAGCAGCCTGCAACACCCAATGTTACAGGTGCACGTGGTCATCCACGTGCAGCTTCGTCATCCGCAGCTTCAGCTGCAGATGGTTATCATATGGAAGTCGCCCCGACATAGATGTGATCTATTTGGGCGAGTCGGACCCCCCGTCCGACTCGAATTCGTCCACAAATCCCGGTAGTGAAGCTGTGGGTATGGAAACGACGGCTGTTAAGCCTCGTGGTAGTCTCGACAAGACTCTCCGCCATGAAATGTTCGGATTATCCGACGATTTTGAGTACTCGCCGCGGGGATAGAAAAGATTCCACCCGTCTTCCAATGATGCGATTGCGCAACAGGAGGACAAGGTCATCGTGATAATATCGATGAATCTTCACGGAGTCATTCAAGCCGTTGCAATACCAGTGATTGCGGCGATCGCAGTGTCATCATTTATGTCGGAACTGCGCAACAAGAGCAAGATCGTAACTTGTTACGATCTGCTCCTGAGAACAAAACATGGATGCATGTTCAACGCAATCGGCGGAAGTGGTATGGTTACACAACTGGGAATTATAGGATCACACTCTTCGATTCGCCAAGACTCCATGGTATTGATGTCGGTGCGACGAATTATCGCACTGAGTATGAGTATTACATCGATGTCTGAAAAAGACATCGATGGTACCACTGCAACCGCAACCGAGACGAAGTTTCGTTGGTGCAGGCGTGTAACTCATTTATCGGCAAAATTGAAAATGCTAGCCGTGACATTTGGCTGGACAAACTTATTGCTGCTCGCAATAGCTTGAGGAGAAGTCGCCAACCGGTGCTCGGTTTAGATTGCACCGGCTGTCTCGGGAAGCAGGGTTACCTTGTCTTCGTGGGGAGAGAAATGTCAGAGTTGTGTTGACAACTCTATTCGCGTCCCTAGAGAGGCTTTCCTCCATAATCAGCCGTTCTGGAGGGCACGCATTTATTCCGAGAGGTACGAAGGGATTAATACTTTACAATCCCCCTACGAACGCGCCGATAGTTCGTTTGACGATGGTATTACTTCAAAAGGTGGGTCTCATCGTACTGCTCGACGAGATCGTGCATGTCCGTCATCAGCTGAGAGCGGGGCTCCCAGCTATTCCATAACAGTGGATACCCCCGACACTGGACAAGGTAACTCGTCCTTGATCCCGAATTGTCACGGTGAGTCTAGATACGCTCCACAAGGAAGCGTTGACCACCGTTTGAGTCCACCAAAGGATGTGGAGGAAGAGGAAAACCCTTCTCCAAGTCGTTTGCCTTACCATATCGATCAATACGAGATGGATCGCGCAATTGATCAATTGCGCGAGGATTTGGAGCGCGAGCGTGACAGGCGCTACGCTATGATAGATTCCGTGCGGCAACACCGCAAGGATCGGAAGGCTGATCGGGAGAAGGATCGTGCCGATTAAACCCTCGCCTAACGTCAGGCTGAGCGTGATGTCCGCTCTCTACTCGAAGATCTGGGGACAGCTCGCATAGATATCTCCGAACTGCCTGGATATATCTCCTCACTCCGCGTCCAGACTGAACGCCCGGAGCGCGAGCGCAAGAACATAATGGAGGTTCTATAATTTGGGGTCTATCTTCATCGTCGGAAGAGAACTCGTACTGGCAGTACGGGCGGAGACGCTCCACGTAAAACGTGGGATGAATGAGCATCCTAGGCGGCAGCTTGATCGTGTCTGCGATGCCTTGTCGGCGCAGCACACGAAAGGGTCCGATGTACTTGGGCATTAGTTTGCTGCTGCTCACGTTAATTACTACATTTATAGGTAAGTTTACCGTAGATAGTAGGAATAAGTCGCCTTCGACAAATGAATGTACATTTGCTCTTCCATTCTTGTCAGAATTCCGCTTCTTCCTGTCTGCGGCGTGAGCAACGGAGTCCTGCACTAAAGGCCCACTGCTTTTCAAGCCAGCAGAAATCTTTCTGCTGACGAGACATTGTTTTGTTCAGTTCGCCTTGTGGTAACTGTAGAAAGAGTCCTTTCCTCTTTCTGTTCATCAGCGACAGTGTCACCATCCTCGCTGAGATAATCTTTGGCGATGCTAAAGCTATTAGCATAGACATCATCATCTGATTCGATAATAGCGTCATCGCTATTATTGAGATGGTCGTCTTATTCGATGTCGACTTGATCTACATCGGTATCATACGTGATGACGTTAGCGTCGACAAATGATGAGAAAGATCCAAAACAGTTTATATTCGAGCGAGTCCCTCCTCCTTTTATCCAAGAGTCACATCCTAACAGGGTGAGCAGAAGTGGATGGCGTAAGCCATTCACGAAGAACGCTGTATGCTGTGTCGAGGCATGAACCGAAGTATAGATGACTAATTCCACCAGAGGTAGGAATTCTATCCAACTCCAGAACGAGTGAACGTATCCTCGAAGGATCTCTTCGAGGACACGATTGGCACGTTCGGTCTGACCATCTGTTTCGGGATGGTCAGATGGTGACAACTTTAACTGCGTTCCGAGCGATCGGAACACGGAATGCCAAAACAATGTCGTGAACCGGGGATCAAGGTCTGACATGAGTTCACGGGGTAATCTGTGGAGTCGAAATATCGTGCCGATAAAGACACGAGCACAGCCCTGTGCCGTGATCGACTCGGGCACCGCAGCACGATGAACCATCTTGCTAAATGGTCAACGAGCACAAGAATACCATCGTTCTTGTGGTCGTCTTCGAATGAATTGGATACGAAGTCCATGGAAAAGGACTAGCAGCACTATACCAAGATAGATATAGGCTGTAATGTTGCACGGGAAGAAGGAAAAGGCTTCACCTGTTGACAAAACTCGCAAGCACGAATGCACTTGCGCACAAACTGATACTGGCGGGGCAGGTAAAAGTCACGACTTACCGTAAGGTAAGTCTTTTC